CATGAAAACATCGGAGATATAATTTTGAGCAGAAACAGACATGAACAGGGCTCTTCACCTAAAAACTAGAAAACATGTAAAATAGTACTACATTTCCTTTTATAAGACATAAAGATCTATCCTACGATTCACACACTTCCCTGGTTTGAATGGGTTTTTTGCCAGATTTATCACATTTCCTTTCATGACAGCTCTCTAAACTGTATTTATTCCTCCTGCATTTGAATGGAGTGCTAATCAAGTACATAACCATCCCTAGGCCGCCAATGGTCACTCTCTGGGAGAGGCTAGCAGGACTGATTTTAAGAAAGTCAGTGAGGGGGCCGGCTGGCTCCGTGGCTTAGCAGTTAAGTGTGCGCGCTCCGCTACTGGGGGCCCGGGTTGGGAACCTGGGTGCGCACCGACGCACCACTTCTCCAGCCATGCTGAGGCGGCGTCCCACATACAGCAACTAGAAGGATGTGCAGCTATGACATACAACTATCTACTGGGGCTTTGGGGACAAAAAGGAGGAGAACTGGCAATAGATGTTAGCTCAGAGCTGGTCTTCCTCACAAAAAAAAAAAAGAGAGAGAGAGAAAAGAAAGTCAGTGAGGTCCCCACCCTCACCCAGTCCTATGTGTGGCAGAGGATTCTGAAGTTTAGATTACTCAGGGCATTTAAGGCCCCTGCAAAGAGCTAAGATAAACTCAACAGGTGGGGGCTTATAGGTAAAACACAGACATGACCCCAAAGCTGTACCAGTCTGGGACACATAAAACAACCCAAAAGGAAACGTCTGTGGGAAAAGAAACTAGCTAAAATGTGTCAAGGGCACGGGGCCGGCCTGGTGGCGCAGTGGTTAAGTGTGTGTGCTCCGCTTCGGTGGCCTGGGATTTGAGGGTAGGGATCCCGGGCGTGCACCAACGCAACACTTGTCAAGCCATGCTGTGGCAGCATCCCATATAAAGCAGAGGAAGATGGGCACAGATGTTAGCCCAAGGCCGGTCTTCCTCAGCAAAAGAGAGGAGGATTGGCATCGGATGTTAGCTCAGGGCTGATCTTCCCCCCCCACACACACACACAAAAAAATGTGTCAAGGGCAGGTTAAATCAATAATAGAGTTTGATGGAAAAATGCTTGTTGGTTCTCTGTCTTCCTCTAACACTGCAGGACCTAGAAAGGTTCTCTTGCATCTTCCACAAACATTTGGGTAACACCAATGCTGCCAACGTGACTCAAAGAATATAGGACGAGGGAAAAATCAACAGCCTTTTCTCAGGGGACCTCTAACTCATCTCAACCCACTCAACTCTCTTTCAGTTCCTTTTTCTGCATACAACACATGTTCATTTAATCATGAGATTCTGATTAAAGGATCAGGAAGCAAATCCTGGGAAAGGTACAAGAAGGGATGGGAATTTGGGGGACACTCGCGGAGGCTCCTGACGGTCATTGAAATTTGGTGAAGCAACATTCAGTTCCCTCTAGCATTGCCTTCTTCTCATAAAACTATCATTCATTGAGTGTCAGGCACTTTTTATAACAGATCCCTAAACTGTATTCATTCCTCCTGCATTTGAATGGAATATTCTCATAATAACTATAGGAAGTATGTGTTATTCCTCTTTATAAATAAGGAAACCAAGGCTCAGAGAAAAGCAATCTGTCTAAGGTCTAAAAGCTGGTAAGTAGCAGAACCGAGATTCAAATCCAGCTGTAAAACCACACCCACTCCAAAGACGAGTTCCAGTTCCCAAGCTGATTAGGATACCATTAGCTCGAGGCAGAGTCTGGCTGAGAGCTTGGTAAAGGCACCTAGGAGTGATTTTTAAGCTTGACTGTTCTACCAGGACATAACGGAGGGAGTGTCACAGAGGCAGCACATCAGTGTGCATGGACAACTTCAAGGGCCTTGTAAACTTTACCAACCACTCTCTAGACATAGGCCTATGGGCTCTTAAGTGTTGGAAAAGCCTTTCCAATAAAACTAGTGTAACATAATTCAGGAGTCAGACAGAACTGACTGGGCTTGCATCCCGGCTTCACCACTTGCTATGCAGCCTCAGTTTTCTCAGCTGTGAAATGCGGAGTAGCACCTAGACTGCTGGCAGGATCACCAGGAGGAGAGAGAATGCACATAGTAAGCACTCAATAAATGGTAGCTATTCATATTTTTACTACACTGAAGAATACAAGGGCAAGTGGTCCAAGATCACCTAGTAACTTAGCAGAGGAAAGAGTTTTGGATGCCAAGCCTCTGATTCCCAGGCTGATTCCCATTACATAATTTTCCTTAGGGGTGTGAGTGTGGATATTCCAGCTAAGTCTCTTGCCTTCTGACCCACAGTCCTACTATGTTTCTGAACTGGCTTCAGCAATGCTGTAGGTAGTTCTGGAGCTGATACAGCAAATCCTGTTATTCTGTCCCAGGGGAAGGATGCCCAAAAGAGATCATTCAGAACAGCAGTTACTCTCCAGAGAATGACTGCCTTCAGCTTCAATCCCTGGCGTGAGGTGTTTTTTTAAGCCAGTGGCCTCCATACCTCACACTCTAGTCCCTTTCACCTCATCCTCCTGCTACCTCAAGCTCCTCCCTTTATCTACCCACTGGTCCTGGTCTAAGAGCAAATCAAGAACAAAGTCCAGGGCTACTCCCTACCTAATCAGATAGATTTATCCCCTTTCGAGTTTAATTTGATATTCAGCCATCCTCACTGGGCAATCCTTTCATTAGAGGGGAATGAGCTGAGATAATAAGACTAAGCAGGCCCCAGTACGGAAAAGACAAGAGAGAGGGAATATACAGGGTTACAGAGATCTGAATTTGAGCCTCGCTCTGCCATTCCCAGCTATGGATCCTTAGTCACGTCCTAAGCGTTAGTTTCCTTATATGTAAAACTGGATATACTAGAGCCTACTTAGGAGGGCTATTATAAAAACTGAGTAAGAAAGTACCCATAAGAATTGAAACTTAGTAAATTTTGAACACTAACTACACACCAGACACTAGGTACTCTGATTTACTTCACTGAATCTTTACAACAATCCTACAATGTAAGTCCTGTTATTAACCCCATTTTACAGATGAAGAGTCAAGCACAGGGAGGTTAAGTAACTCACTCAAGATCACAAAGTCAGGAAGAGATAGAGCCAGGATTTGAATCCAGTACATCTGACTCTAGAGCAGGGTTCCTCAACTTTGGCACTACTGACATTTTGGGCCGGATAATTCTTTATGACTGGAGGGCTGACCAGTGCACTGGAGGATTTTTAACAGCATCCCTGATGTCTACCCACCAGAGGCCAGTAGTACCCCACATCCCAACGATGACAACCAAAAATGTTTCCAGACATTGCCAAATGTCTCCTGGGGGACAACACCAGCCCCTGTAGGAACCACTGCTTTAGAACTTGGCACAGGACTAAATGCTCAATATATATGAGTTCCTGTTTTCGTGTCTCTCTCCGAGCCCAAACACCTCATTCACAGAGGCACTGCCTCTTCAAGCTGTAATGGACCTTATATAGGATTAATTCCATCTACTTATTCAACTGATGAGGAAAATAAGGCCTGGGGTCTTGTTCCCTCATCCTTTGGAGGTCTCACACACTATCTGCTATCACAGCTTAGGGGAACAGGGAGAGGGGAGCTTAGGCAGATGACCTTGAATAATTTCCTGCTTCACGCTCCCTTTGACAACTCTCTTCTCCCCCCAAGCCTACCACTTTCAGCAGGCCTGGGCTCAGAGTGGAGGTAGTGGCAGTACCATGGCTGCCTCGGGATAAGGGATCTTTGGTTCATGAGTGAGGGCGATTCTGCCCCTCACAGGGAAAGTCAGGCTCCTTCAGGAGTCCTGATCTCTGGAGACATGACTTCGTTGCTGAACCCCTGAACTCTCCTAAAGTTCATACACTCATATATGGTTTCATACATTACTTCTAGGTCCTTGGGTCCCCAGAACTCCTTTTACTTCCCATACACAGACTTCAAGAAAATTTCTTTAGCAGCCCATGACACCAATCCACAAATCTATTCGGAGTCCTTTAATTCTACAGTTCATTTGGTACATCCCCACCCCACCATTCAACCCTCCCCAAATCCTGTTCCCAACTCTCTTACAATATAGAATTCCAGCCTTTTGGGCTCTATATTGCAACCTTCACCGATTCTTCACTCATGCACCCCAAATCCCTCTGACATACATCCTTTAATCCCTGTTTCCAAATCTCTGCAGCCGTCAACCCAGCATCCCAGCTTAACACCCCAATCCCACACCTCAATCCGAGCCCCCATCCCCTGCATTCCATCAGGCATTGTGCCGCCCTCCAACCTTGCTCCTTCCTCTTTTACCCATCCCACGTCATGGCACACGTTGCCTTCAAACCTTAACCAGGTCCCTTCTTTCTGCTAACAAGATACTGCTTCCCACTGATCCCACAAGAACTCAGGCTCTCAATTTTCCCCAGATTCCCCCTGGGAAAACGCTGCCTCCTTAGCAAATAGGATAGCCCCTGACCCTGCTCCCTCTGATCTCAGATTTTGCGCCCCCCCCCAAGAACAGTGCCCCCGCATTCCCTCAAATCTCCTGAGATTCTGCACCCCAGATTTCATCAGGGCTCCCAAATTCCTCCATATGTCCGAAATTCTGTACCCCTGATCCCTTCAGGGCCTTCAGCTCCCCTCCCATCTCCCAGATGCTGCACACCATCTCTCCTCAGGGCCCCCACATTACCTCATACCTCCTGACATGTTGCACCGCGAATCTTCTCGGAGCCCCTCGCTCCCCTCCCGGAGCTGCATCTTCTCCGAGCTCTTCGGCCCCCTCGAATCCCTCCCGAGCCTGCCCTTACAGCCCCACCCCCACCCCGGCCCTGCCCCTCGGATCCGGCCCCCAGACCCTGCCATTCGGGCGTGGGCCGGCCGCTGCACGCCAGCACAGCCCCTGCCCCGCCGTTCAGCCACCGTCCGTGACTCTGCCCGCGGTCCCTCGTCCCCCACCCTCCTTCCCGCCCCCTACCTGACCGCCCGCGGCTCCGACGCGTCCACCGTCGCCAGCCCACCCGCCCGCCGCCCTCTGCGCACGCGCCAACGCGCGGCCCTTGGCGGGCGCCAATTCGCAGAACCGCCTGCGCCCCGCCCCCCCGAGGCATGCTGGGGCTTGTAGGCTGGCTGGCGCGAGTGACCGCGTAGGGGCGAGTTCTCCGCTGAGATATGCAGAGCTTTGGGAACACGTCACTCAGGTTCCTGTCCCCGTTGTACAGATAAAGAAACTGAGGCGAAAGGGGCCTGCCCAAGTTCCCTCCGAGTCGGGAGGTAAACCAGAACTCACGTGTCTGACTCCAGTCTGTATCAACCCCGTCGCTAAATCGCATCCTCCAGGAGTGGTCCTCAGCAAAGCCTGGCACCTCACAGAAAGGCCTCTCTGAACCTCAGCTTTCCCAGCTGACAAAAGGACCAAGGAAATACAACTTACCCTCGGGGGCAAACACAGAACCTGGGCTCGCTTAGAGACGTAGTTCTTCTGGCCCCGTGTTTCTCCCTGTGACACACCGCCGCCTAGAGACAAGTTTATCTGATGAACAAATTGTTCTGCTGAAGGAGTCTTACGCCTACTCAGCCGCGAGGCCAACAGCAGAGGTAAATATGGGAATACAGCCTGCAGCTCCTGTCCCTGCACACTGAAGGTACCCAGGAACCCACACCTGAGTCTAGCTTCGAGGGAGCCAGGAAAGTGTAGAGTCTTCCCAGGTGGGAGGTGGTCTGGCCTCCTGGCTGCCAAGAACCTGTGGCCCCTTAGGTAGTTTGAAGCCAATTACCGGCTCTTGCAGGTGACCATGTAGTATAGGTTAGGAGCAGGAAGGGGTTTGGAGTAGGATGGCCTTGGACTTGAAATCCCACTTAGTTATGTGACCTTGCACAATGATAAAACAACAAAGAAAAACAGTAGCAAAGCTAACATCTTTGAGCACTTAGTGTCTGGCTGCAGCTGAGCACTTCATATGTGTAGTTCACTTCATCCTCATAATAACCCTATTAGATAAGCAGCTGATGCCCAGTTGGTTAAACAGCAAGGCCACATGATCATAAGTATAAAGCCTAGATTGGAACCCAATTCTATATGAGAATCCACCCTCTTAACCTTGTTTAATCTTGCTGCCCATTTTTTTCTCTAAATGGAGATGAAGTTTGCTGTGAGGATTAACTGAGATTATGAATATATAGCGGTTTGCACTTAATTAATGGTAACTATTTTTTTAAATTCCACTTAGCTCTTATACTCTCTGGACTGCTGATTCCAGAAGCCCCAGCTCCCAGCATTTCAGATATTGAGGGCAACAGGAGTCAGAGTTGGTATACTTCATGGCATCCTTTGAACAGGCTGGGGAGCTCTGGACGCCTGGCTTAGCATAGAGCTCTGGGGCTATCTGAGACCTCAAGGATATACTTGCAGTCCAGGGCCAGCTAGGGTTTGACCAGACAGGCCAGGAATAGATTGAGTCAGGAGTGGGCTGAAGAGGGGGCCCAGTCAGGGACTCATGGGCCCTGGGGGCAGGTTTTGCTCAAAATTGGCAGCCCGTGGATGCAAACAGAACCTTGCAGGGCCAGGGGAAGAGAAGTGCGTGCTTCTCCCACATTCCTGAGCTTCTGGGAACTCCGAGGTGCTTGCTGCATGCTCAGCAAGTACCAGGACTTGTAATTTGATGACTTCTCGCAAAGCACATACCAGGTTGGGCTTTAATTATCCACTTCCCTGCAGTCTTCACTAGTGGACTGAGGGACAGTGCCTGTTTGTCATCACATCTATTAGCTTAGTGCCCAGCACATAAGAGTTGCTGAGTCAGACTTAGAAATGTGACCTTAGGCAAATCATATCCCTGTCTGACCTTGAGTTATTCTAGCTGCAGAATGACTCAGTGGGGTCAGTTGGGAAAGAGCGGACCATTTTTTGAACACCAGCAGTATACCAGGCACTTCATAGATATTGTCACACGTCACAATTAATCCCCTTAACAATGACTCAGGTAGATATCAGTAGCTGCATCTTGCAGAAGAGGCAACTGAGGCTCAGCAAGACTAAGTACCTTGCATACGGTCACCTCCTGGGAAGTGGTAGGGCTGGGGTACAAACCCAGACCAGTCAGGCCTATGACACACTGAACCACTATCCAAAGACTCATCCACATTTTATGACACCAGCTATCTTTCTATTTTATTGAGTAAGGCTTGTTTGTAAGACTCAAAAGAGAGAAGGAGAGATGATGATGCTTAGGAAGTCAAGGAATATGGGGCAAATCATGGCTGTCGTCAAGACCACAGAGCATGATCCTGTTAAGGCAAAGACACCCAGATGAGCTGGTCTGAGCGGCATTGCCAGAGAAAAGCAGGAATTGCCCTCTGCCCTGGGTTTCTGCCATGTTGGAGACTCAGAGTGGCCTGTTTTACCAGAATGGCAAGGAACTTCTCTGGACAGGGGCCTGGGTACTTCTACCAGCCCCTGTGTTGTAGGTGGGGGCAGATGGGAGAGTTGCTGTGAAATAGTTTAAGACCTCACTTATACCCTCTTCTCAGACCAGGTAGGGAGTTAGCACCCTGTTTGCTGAAAACCACAGTTACCATTTACCACTTAAACCACCTATATCAGTTTCCTAGCCTTTTCATAACAAAGTATCGCAAACTAGGTGGCTCAAAACAAGAGAAATTTATTTTCTCACAGTTCTGGAGGCTAGAAATCTGCAATCAAGGTGTCAGAGGGGCCATGCTTTCTCTGAAGTCTCTGAGGGAGGATCCTTCCCCGCCTCTTCCAGCTTCTGGTGGCCCCAGGCGTTCCTTGGCTTGTGGTAGCATAATTCCAGTCTCTGCCTCCATCTTCTTGTGGTCATTTCTCCCTGTGTAGCTCCGTCTCCATGTGGCATTCTCCTCTCTGTGTGTGTCTCTGTCTTCTTATAAGAACACCAGTCGGATTAGATTAAATATGACCTCTTTCATGCCTAATTAAAACTCCAGTGTGACCTCATCTTAACAAATTACATCCACAATGCCGTTATTTCCAAATAAAGTCATATTCTGATATACTGGCCGTTAGGATTTCAACATATCTTTTTAGGGGACACAATTCAACCTTCAACCAATAACATCACCCTATGGGCTAAGTATTGTTTTCTCTATTTACAAAGAAGATCTCTAATTTAACCTCTCTTTAAAATGGGGATAACAATAGCTAATTCACAGGATTGTTGGGAGAAAATGAGATACTGGATGTTAAGCATTTACAGATTAGGATGTTGCCTAACGTGTAGTAATGTTCATTGTATTGCATTTATTATTATTGTAAATAAGGTTGTTTATTAAGTCCACCACTATGTAGTAGAAAGAGCAAGGACTTTGGAGGATCCCAGTTCTACCCACCCAGTTCTACCCACCTGGAAGGTTATTTGGGGGAATAGATTAGAAGATGATTTGACGGAATGCTTGGTAACTTATTGCAGCTGACAAGCTCTGTAACCTTGGACAACTTACTTAGCCTCTCTGTACTTAACTTGCACCTCTGCAAAATGGGAGTAATAGTACTTATCTACCACATTGGAATGTTGTGAACGTTAGATGACTTAATAAACCTAAAGCTTTTAGAGCACTGCCTGGTAAAGAATAAGTGCTCTATGAATGTTAGCTACTGTAGTCATTATTATTATTGTTATTATTGCTATTCTCTACAAAATATTCTCCTTTTCTTCTCTTATTAGCAACTTAATTCTGAGAAGGAAGAGGAATTTCTTGCTTATAAAATGTGGGGGAGAAAATGTAAGCAGTTAAACTCTAATACATCCTAGCCAAATTTGTCTGAGTCTAGAGGTTTAGAATTGCTAGAATTATCATGAAATAATATAAAACTATATCTATCTGTATTACTTACCTATCATTGGGCAATAAATGATCCCCAAACTTCATGTTTTAAAACAACACTCATTTCTTATCTCATAGTTTCTGTGAGTCAGGAATCTAAGCACAGCTTAGCTGGGTCCTCTGCTTCATGGTCTCTCACAAGGCTGCAGTCAAGTTATTGGCCAGGGCTGGGGTCTCATCTGAAGGTTTGGGGAAGGATTGATTTCTAAGATCACTTATGTCGTTGTTGACAGGTTTCAGTTCTTTTTTTTATATATAACATCATTTATTTGTTCATTCATTCATTCATTCATTCCTGAGGAAGAGTTGCCCTGAGCTAACATCTGTTGCCAATCTTCCTCTTTTTTTTTTCTTTCCTGAAGACGATTAGCCCTGAGCTGACATCTGTGCCCATCTTCCTCTGTTTTATATGTGGGTCACCACCACAGCATGGCTGACAAGTGGTGTAGGTCTGCACCCGGGATCCAAACCCGAGAACCTGGGCTGCCGAAGCAGAGTGTGCCAGAGTTAACCACTATGCCACAGGGCTGGCCCCAGGTTTTGGTTCTCTAAGGCTTGTTGGGCTAAGGGCCTCAGTTCCTTGCTGGCTTTTGGCTGGAGATTGCCCTGAGCTCCTTGCCACATGAGCCACTCCATGACAGCTTGTTTCATCAAAGCCAGCAAAAGAGAGTCTTCGAGCAAGACAGAAGTCACAGCTTTTGTAACCTAATCACAGAAGTGACATCCCCTCAATGTTGCCATATTCTGTTCGTTAGAAGGAAGTTACTCAAATGGAAGAGGTTGTTAATAGGCAGTGCGTATCAGGAGGTGAGATCATTGCAGACCATTTTAGAGACTCCCTCCCTTCCTCCTACTCCCCCCCTTCCCCTCTCCCCCTTTCTCCCTCCCTCCCTCTCTTATTCTATTTGTCTATCCATCTATCTGTCTGTCTGTCATTAGTCTGCTTTCTGCTGAAACTCTGACTCATCTCCATATGCCATACTCAATCCCTGTGTTTCTCAGTCTAGCCTACAACTGGTACAGGGTGAGTGCTCAATAGGTGCTTGAATTCAGTTTAAATTTACAGCATAAAAGAACATTTAAAAAGAGTCAACTTTCTCCACCACCTTAATATCACCATTATATTGGTTATATTTGTATAAATATAAACATTTACAAAGTTCCTTTTTAAACTGTTCATACATAT